ATGACTTGATTGACAGGTACAAGAGTGGAGAGATGGATGAGCTGGATGAGTCTGAAGAAGAGTGTGAGGAAGAGACCCTGGAACGTGGAAACGACCCTGATGTGGATATGATGGATGTAGACGGAGAAGGAGTCGATGACGTGCCACCTATTTTGTCTGCTGGATATCAGTTACGACTTTTGCGAGAAGCTAATCAACAAGAAGTTATCTGTCGAGAACATGTTCTGGCTAGTGAAGAACCTGTTCAAACAGATGTGGTAGTACTGTTTGGGGATATGACATTAAATAAGCCTGATTCGGAAGAGACTGTCCGGAGACTGACTTATCCAGAAAAGGGACTTATCCGAGAGTGACTTACCCAGGGGAGTGACTTTATTCTACATATTGAAGAAGACATTTTATAGAGAGAGACGGACAGACAGACATACAGAAAAGATGTAGATGCTGAGATTGTAAACAGTCCCAACTTTCAATAGTACTCTCTCTGTTCTGTTTATTATCGAAAAGGTGAACTTCTGGACTATATCTAAACTTCAAGGGGGCTGCTATCTTGTCTCACACCTAGTTGGTTAGCGTGAGGAATGTACAGATACATACGTCTTTGGAAGGTCGTTAAACTGTTTTGTTTTGGATGAGAGCTTAGGAATATCACCATATCATGGACACACAGACCTTTCAAAAGTTGGTGTCAGAAGCGACAAAAACCACCAGAGATCTCCAGCAAGCCTTGGATAGGCTCATGGAGGGGGAGGTACATCGGATAGAATCTACCTCTACTCAGATAGCGTCTACTGAACGAAGAGTGACAGAACCAGCTCCCAACGAATTCTCTGTTAAAACAGAAAAAACCGTCAAGAACGAGAAACGAAAACGGTTCCCTGTTGTTTATCGAAACCAAGGCTTCAGGGGACTTGATGTGCGTCTTCCTGTTCTAGATTTCGCTTCAGACACCTTTTGGACCGATATCATGAAACTGAACGAAGCCAAGTTGCACACTCGTCCTCAATTGACCACTTTCCGAACACTTACCAGAAAACATCATCTTCATCGGAAGATCAGGATACCCTCTTGGCTAGCAGACGAGTCGGAAACACATGAACAGTACCCCTTGTATCTCAGAGCTTGCAGACGGTTAGATAATATTGTTACCGGTGTGAGAATGGTTTATAAGGACCCAAAGACACCCTTGTGGCCTAATCACTTCTTGGACGACAACTTTCCTGCTCCCGACATTCGAATGAGGATAGCTGGAGATCTAGACAAGCTAGGACTTTCTCCAGCCAGAAAGAAGACGTTGGTCAAGGAAGAGAGACTCTGGCACGGCTCATTCGGAAAGATTGTAGACGAGCTGGTTTCAGTGTATGAGACTGGAGTGCTTGGTAGATCTGATTATGAAGAGGAAGTGGAATGTGAACACTTTGATCCAAGAAAAGGACGTTCTCAAAGTGAAGGGAGTGAAGACTCGTTGATGGAGGATAGTGAGGAAAGTGAGGAAAGTGAATCCGAAGAGGAACAACTTGTGGTTAAGGAGAACCCTACCGCTCAAAGAAAAGAGTACATCCAAGAGGTTCAAAGGATTACTACTCAAGTCGGAGAACTGAGCATCAGAAGAACCAAGACGGCAGAAGAGCTCAGAAGTATGCTTTTTAATGCGAAGAGGTCTAGGGTCTAAATGGAGATTTTTGGTCTACAAACGGTCTACACACGGTCTGTAAATATCTAGAAAGGTCTACAAAGAGTCTAGATGGAGGATACGGTTTTTATGGACTTTTATTCTAGGACAAACCTCATATTGGCATGGATATAAAGGCAGAATGAGGGAGTTAGAATCTGTAAAGAGACGGTAAAGAGACACCAAAAGCAAAAGCAGAGTCTTCTGGATGGTGAGAACACAACTATCTGGTTTATTTGACCATGTGGGTATTTTTGGGAGAGTTGTAGAGGGCTGTTTTTTATTTCTAGGAAATACATTTAGCTAAATAAGGCCTATCACTAAAGTAAACCCGTGAAGTCCTGTAGAATTGGAGGTGTGGATTTCAAGTGAGAAAAACATCGTGTGATAGACATTGATGGTATAGATTGAATCTCTAGACTGCAAGAAATGCGTTTGTCAAGTCCCTGTAGCTAGACGAGTATTTTTGAGCGAGTAATACGGGATATAAAAGGTACCAGACTCTTCTGAATCCAGGTGTTGGTCTGGGCTAGTTATCTACAGTACCAGGTAGTTATGTCTAAAAAGAATCAATTGTTATATAAGTTAAGCTAAAACGTCTATTTGACAACGTGCTCCTTGTGCTCCTTGTCATCACCGTAAGCCTTGGTTCCGTAGTGGCCGTTGATACAGATGACGTCCTGGGGTCGGTAGTTCTGCTTGCCGGAGAAGAAGACCTCGAGAATGTTCTTGGTACCGGCGGCGTATCGGCCCTGGGCATCAATAGAGGTTCCGGAGATATGGGGAGTCATGGCGTTGCCTCCGCCCCACTTGTTTCGCATGTATCTCCAGGGGTGGTCCTTGGGGGCGGGCTGGGGGTTCCACACGTCTCCTCCGTAGCCTCGGATCTTGCCGGACTTGAGGGCGTCGACAATGTCTTCGGTGACACAGATGGCTCCTCGAGCGGTGTTGACGAGCCAGGCTCCGTCCTTCATGTGGGAGATGAGCTCCTTGTTGAACATGCCCTTGGTGGAGTCGTGCAGGGGACAGTTGATGGTGACAATGTCGCACAGAGACAGCATCTCCTTGAGGTCGGGGACGTGTCGGCAGCCAATCTCGCTCTGCACCTCGGCAGGCATGGGCTGGTAGTCGTAGTAGAGCAGCTCCATGGGGTTGAAGGGTTGCAGTCGCTTGAGCACTCGCTGGCCGATTCGGCCTCCTCCAACGGTACCAATGACCTTACCCTCGATGTCGTACGAGTCCTTGGCCACGGCAGCAACGTCCCAGCCGCCAGAAACAATCTGCTCGTGGGCAGGCACAAAGTTTCGGACCAGAACCAGCATGGTCATGACAACGTGCTCGGCAACAGACTGGACGTTGGAGCCAGTCACCTCAAGAACAGCAATGTCTCGAGCGTTGGCAGCATCCAGGTCAACGTGGTCAGAACCAACACCAGCAGTGACACAGATCTTGAGCTTCTTGGCCTTGTCAATTCGCTCCTTGGTGATGTAGGCGGGGTGGAAGGGGGTGGTGATGACAACCTCAGCATCAACAATCTCCTTGTCAACAGTGGAGTTCTCACCGTCCTTGTCAGAGGTGGTCACGAGGGTATGTCCCTGAGACTCGATCCAGTCTCGCAGACCAAGCTCGTTCTCGGTACATCCGAGAAGTCGGGGCTCGTCCTGGGCGTGGACACCGGCGTCGTAGAGAACAAGAAGGATCTTCATATTGTAGTAGTAGTAGTAGTTGTTGATGGGAAGACTCTGTGTGGAGGATGTAGTCCTTTATATATGTTCCGAGACAGGCATTACATCTCCCCCCGCCCGACAACAGACGCCTTGTCTGAAGCTTGTGGCTGATCGAACAACCGGAACGGTCGGCCATTGGGGAAGAACTTGGAATTGGGTTGGGGCTGAGAGAAGACATGTTCGATGCCTCGTTAAGGTGCAGAGCTGCTTAAGCGAGATAATATAGACACCTTGGCGTCTTGGTAATGTCATGGAAAATGAATTTCTACCAAAAATCGATATCAATTGACCTAACAGGCCTTTTCCAGCTGTTTCAATCCATCCAATACCCACATCTGTATCCTTCCAAAGCCAACTCTCCCCTCAGAACCCAGAGCTAGACATTTCCGAGCCGCATAAGCATACCTGCATCGGACCAGAAAGATAGTGGAGGTGAACCGTATCCTCGCCGCACCGCACGGTCCGATCTATATGGAACAGGTTTCACTCAGGTGAGAGACGCCTGGAATTGGGGTGACATACGACACTGTACGGTGGTACATGTTCTACTGTAAAAAGCTGTTTCAGTTTAATTTAGGGATGTTTGTACAGAATTGTACCCTACATCACACTATCTACCGCCTGCACCAACATCGTGGCACAAGCTTCACTCGATCACACCAAGGTTCAGTTGCTGTTTTCAGTGAAGGGATACCAGTACAGCCTTCGAGTGCCTGGGACATGTGCGGTATTTTGGACGATACTGATTTCATGATGAAAGCAGGTACGATACAGGAATTGGACGATATCCCGCATACCCTCCGTCTCGTATACGTACAGAAAGTCTCTTGGCGTCTATCAGACAGGTCTTGCATCGAAATGATAGATGGAATTTATGATTTACAAACGTACCGTCACTCGCTCTGCTTTGATCCATGCTCCTCTTTACAGCACTTGCCCCAAAAGAACGTGCTACTCCTCCACCGTATCTATTTCAGCAAAGTAATATTCGGGGCAGCGGCCCTTTCCACACCCAGCGACCATTATTGTAAACCAGCTCGGGATGACTGAAGACCAACAGATTACTGGCTCAAAGCTTAAATACACTGAATAAATTGAATTGTATGTATGTAACTGCTGCACCCCAGAACTTTATCAGACTCAATATGCAGAAACAAACCAGCTCAATTCAGATGATAGAGTAATATTAAACGAACAAAAACATCACCAGAAACTCAATTGACCGTAATTATTCGGCCACTGGGATTTTCCCCGCTAAAATCAGCCGCTTGGGCCAGTTATCCGGTCTCACCAACAATCTCCACAATCCAAGGCAGCACCTCTATTCCACTCAAAGTTGCACCTGTTCCTTGTCGGAAGTTAGAAGACTATCGTCTCAACCAACTCTGAGGTGGTGCCTTGACTCCAAAACCAGGATATGGAACGCTGTGGATGTCTTAGATACGTAATGGCGCAGATTGGGAAAGCAGCACAAAGCAGCTGGAAAATGGCGCCAAAAACGTGTCCTACAGGTGCATACCCGGGATGCTAGTGTTTCAATAGGCAGTTTCTTAATCGAATCATGATTCAGAAAAAAATACACAGCAAGAATTCAAAAAAATCGACAACTGCAGGATTCGAACCTGCGCGGGCAAAGCCCAACAGATAGTACGTTAATTCGAATCTGTCCCGTTAACCACTCCGGCAAGTTGCCACTAGGCCACGAAATGCGGCGGTTAAATTTCGGACTTTTTGGACGTATTTAAGCCGCAAATTTTCGAATTATAGTCCGCCGAATTTTGACGTTTTGAGCCCCTTTGACGTCGTTTTGAGATATAATTATATGATTTCGAGATTACTTGAGGTCGTAGCTAGCTCGCAAACACATTGTTTCTTGTTTTTACTCATTTTTCGCATGTGCTGAGTAACCATAGTACTACTAAATGCGTATTCACTCTTCAATGACAGCCCTACAACCCTAAAAAACCATATTGTCCCTTTAAACATCACGTTAGTTACTATATCTTCTCGTCTAAAGTTTCGGGGGCTTGTTGCCCTGAACAATGACGGTTTCAGGGTAAGTTGTTCGAGCAGAGGTGTGCCATGCTGCTCCGTCAACGACCAGAGTAGTTCCTGAAATGTACGAAGCTGCGTCGGAAAAGAGGAAGACGGTTCCGTTGGCAATGTCTTCGGTAGTTCCGAATCTCTGAACAGGAACAAGCTCCAGAGATCGCTTTCGAGCGTCAGAAGGAAGCAGACGTCCGAGACCTTCGGTTCCGTCAATAGGACCGGGTGCCAAGCAGTTTACAGCGATGCCAAGAGGACCCAGTTCGACCGCTAGAGCCTGTGACAGCGCGTCGATGCCTGCCTTTGCCGCAGATACGTGTGACTGGAGCGATGTTCCTCTGTAGTGCAATGTTGCAGACACGAAGAGCACCTTTCCCTTGTTTTTTCTGAGCTCCGGAAAACACGCCTTGACGGTGTTGTACGAGCCCAGCAGATCGATTGAGATGACGGACTTGAAGGCGTTGGTCGACAGGTGGTTGAAGTCTGCCAAAAAGTTGCCTGCAGCTCCGGCAATCACGTAATCAATTCGGCCGAGCTCCTGCACCGTCTTTTCGGCTGCAGCTACAAGCGACTTGACCTCTCGAACGTCGCAGTTTCCAATGCCAATCACCTTGGCGCCGGGACGCAGCTGCTGCATCTCTTCAGCAGCTTTTTGTGTCACTTCAGGCCGTCGTCCAATGACTGCGGCATTGGCACCCAGCAGAATGAGAGCTTCAGTCTGAACTCGACAAATGGTACCTGCTCCTCCTGTCACAAAGACCACCTTGCCTTCAAAGAGGCCGGGGTTGTAGACGCAGGTTTTGAGCCATTCGGGAGAGAGAGTGTTGGGCATGGTATTTGAGATGGTGTCAATGTCAAGGAGGACTGCTCTGATATTTGTACTGTCTCGCAACAAGGTTCAAAAAAGGTGGGGTCAAAGTTAGTGGGGAGATCTAGGATAGAGTAGATGGATATTGTAGGAGCCAGTGGAATAAAAGTGGAATAAAAAGTAGTGTATATGTGTAATTGGGGTCAGAGGATTTTATTGGCCAGGTTTTTGGAACTGATTATGTAATAAAAAACCACATTTAATCCGTCCCTCAAGTAACCATATATACACCCAATCTAGCTCTCATATCGGAGATGTATCATACTCACACCTAAAACTTTCACGATCCGAATGAAACTTGGAAATCAGACTAAACCGACGCCTGTGAACAACTTCCACCCATCAATTCACCCCCAACACCCCTACAACACCTTCTACCATACCTCCCACTCTACCCCACTTCGGACCCGTCCATGCATTACACTGCAGCTCAAACGCACACGCGCCGATTATATCTGACATGTCATTTCATGCACTCATAGTGGTATCTACGTCCCCCATATCAATCATAACGAATAAATAATACCTACAATACACTACATGTTGACAGCCAAAAGAATGGCCAACATACCCAAAGTCTCCCGTCCATCGGCAATGGGGATTTTCAGTAGCTCCAAAATCATCTGGATGTCCTTGTTGAGCAGCAAGACGGCGTACTCGAAACGATACTGTAACGACGAGGGGAAGAGCGGAAACGCTCGCGATCCGGTGATGACGCTAACAGGATCGAAAATGGCATGATGTGCCCCCACGCGTGTAATGGGGTACTTGAGAGGAATCTCGAACAAACCCGAAAGGAGCATCAGAAGCTCACAGGTTAGAGAATATGCAAATGTTTGTTCGTGTTCGTCCGTGGAGGTTAGAGATAGGCCTGCAATGGCATAAGAACCATTTCTGTGTGTGATGGGAAAGATTTCACAGAGGTGCTCAAGAGACTCCTTTCTGACTTCGAAAAGCGCTCGTTTTTCGCTCTCAACCTGCTTGGAAAGATCGTCAGGCACATCTTGTAGCGCCTCTTTAGCCTTCTCCTGCAACATGCCTCCACTCTTCAAGTAAGCACGTCTCGTCTCTATGTCTTGCACGAGCTTTGCCTTTTTTTGGTCCAATTTGAACTTGGTCGTGGCCAGTTCTGCCTGGGCTTCCTTGATTCGCGCGATTTCAGCCTCGGTGTAGTTGTGACTGCGTTCGGCCATGGTTATCAGTTCCCGATTGCGCGTCAAAGTCTCCACCTCCTTGGAAATCGTCTGTCTGGTGAGTTCAGCATCCTTCACGAGATGCTCAATGTTGAGCACCTTGAGCATCTGGTCGAATGACGTGGCATTCAGGGGCTCTGCAGGCGTACGTAGACCAGAAGAAGATGCTACCTGATGCAGAAACGCCGAAGGAGTGCCTGGAATGAAACAACCGTCATCTAGAGTCAAGACCAGCTGGCTCTGTCTCTTTGCAGCGGTTTCGTCCTGGCCAATGTATCGTAAAGACGACAAATCGACTCGGTACAAGCTCGGTCTGAACACCTCTGCGCTGTCACTATCTTCGAGCCACAGCACCACCACGATCTCTCTCAGATCTCTGTAGTTTTTGTCAAAGTCGACGTCCACACCAAAGTTGGACTCGTGCACAAACACAGGCGACACGTAGATGGGCTTGTCTTTGTGTTCGGGGTCGTGGATGGAGAAAAATGCAGTAGGAGGATGGTACTCGATGAGCTCGTCATTTAGCGAGTCTGAGCTCGGAGCTCGGGACATATCCACTTCCGGGGTCCGCACGGGGTACTCCCTGACGCTGGTGATGGTTGGAGCCGGCATGAGCTCGTTTCCGTTGGTTTCGGGCTCCTCTGACTCAGCATGCGTTCCATTCTCGGGCTCTGATTCGCCCTTGGTGGTGATGGAAACGTTGGTCGACGTGGCCTTTTTGGTGGTCACAAACGGCAGAAAGCCCTTTTGCGAAATGCGGAATTGAGAGTCGTGGTTAGTGATGAAGGGCGACGCTGGTCGAGTCGGAGGAGTGTCCAGGGGCGTGGCAAGGGTGGAAGAGATGCTTTTGGGGGGGTTTTTGCGCACACAAACGACATTGGCAAAGGAGAGACGATGGACGTGGCGAAGCCGGCGCTTGGACGACGCTAGAGTCAGTTTGTGTCTGTCTCTAAGTCCCATCGCTGTGTTTTCGAAACTGACAATGTGGTGTTGACTTCAAGTTTACGCAACGTGCATGCAATTAGCGGCGTGGTGCATGTTTGCATAGAGCTAAGTAAATGTGTTAGAGCTAAGTAAACGTGTTAGAGTTGGTTGACATGAGTAGACATTAAGGGGGTATTTCGTAGTATACGTAAATCCGTCATTGAGGACGGTACACGGCTGAAACTTGGAACATTGATATTTCGCGAGGATGGGATTTGGTCATTTGAATTTCGTAGATTTTCGCTGGAAATTGAACATTTTGGCAGTGACTTATAGTGAACTTCACTTCAACATTAAGCATACGAGGTATACGGTATTTAACATGAGACTCCTACAGTATCTCCACATGCTCAATTGTTTGACATTGTTTCAGTTTTGTACTTTCATGGTACCGTTGAAATCCCCTGGTCCTGGAGATCACAATGGTCAAGTCCATATAACGATACGGACATCAATGCACTCAGGACAGCTCTGTGTGTGAATCAAGAACATCCTCAAGCCTTTTCTTTATCAACCTCACTTACACATCAATGCTACAGTATCTATAATCTATTAGTGTCCATACATCGTTAGTCCACGTCAACGTCGTCAACCAACGTCAACTAACGTCAACCAACGTCAACCAACGTCGTCAACTAACGTCAACCAACGTCGACCTACGGTCAACGTTGCCGTTACTTGAAAGCCTTGGCGACAGTCTCCCAGAACTGCTTGCCCTGGATTCGGGCCACGTTCTTCTCGAGCTCGGTGGGCTTTCGAGAGCCGTCTCCGCCAGCAAAAGTGCCAGCTCCCCAAGGAGAGCCGCCGTGGATCTCGTCAAAAGAGGTCAGCAGAGGAGCAGCCTCCTTGTAGCCCAGAGGCACGTAGATCATGCCGTGGTGGGCAATGGTAGAGAGAGCATTGATAGCAGTAGTCTCCTGTCCTCCTCCGGGAGTTCCGGTGGACACAAAGACACCGGCGTACTTGCCGGCCAGACCTCCGCTGGCAAACAGACCTCCAGTCTGGTCCCAGAAGGATCTCCACTGGGCGGGCTGGTTGCCGAATCGAGTAGGAATGCCGAGCAGGATTCCGTCGTACTCGGCGAACTTCTCGGGGGTGATGACGGGGTCATCAGCCTTGGGGGGAGCCTTGATGATGTCAAGGACCTTCTGGGGAAGGGTTTCCTGGACCTGGTAGAGGGTGGAGGAGCCTCCAGCAGACTTGATACCCTGCTGAATCTCGTGGGCGAGGGTTCGAATGTGTCCGTAGACGGAGTAGTAGACGACGGCGACCTTGGGAGCCATTTTTTGTGTTTTTACGGGTTCGATTGAGTGGAGTTCTAGGTTGGGGTGGATCCACCTCTATATATATTTCCGATCACAGCCTTCCATTTTGAGCCTAAGCAAATCTGTAAGTCATCGTGGCTGTAGTCAATCTTGACTGTGCATTAGACATGTGGGTTGAGAACAAAGAACAAAATGGCAACGTGGACAAGAGGGGCACTTTTAATCAGCTTTGATTACTTATGGATGAGTAACTAGTGTGAATTGGATACAGTGTGTTAGACTGGTGGTTTTTGTATGTCCTTTTTTCTCTCTTTACAATGCTTGCTATAGACAACTT